ACTGGCCCGCGATGAGCCTCGAGCTGGCCGGCGGCAGTTTCCAGCACGTGCGCCAGCTCGAGCGGCTCGACCTCAGCTTCAACAACATCTGGGCGTTCCCCGAGGGCGTGTTCTGCCCGCTCACCAACCTGGTCACGCTCAACATGAGCTGGAACCGCCTGCAGGACATCAGCGAGGTGGGCTTCCGGGAGAAGACGCCGCCCCCGCAGCCGCTCATCAGCCAGGACGAGGAGCCGCCCCCGGAGCCGCAGCCCCCGCAGCCGCCCCCGCCGCCGTCCGCGCCCTGCAGTCTGGACGTGCAGGTGCTCGACGCGTCCTTCAACCACTTCGTGCTGATGCCCAGTCGCGGGTTCAGCGCGTTGCGCAGACTACGAGAACTCTACCTGCACGACAACGAGATCTCCATGGTCGCCGATCGAGCCCTGGGCGGGCTCAAGGCGCTTGAAGTTTTCGATCTGTCGAATAATAAAGTGGTTGCGCTTCCGCCCGAACTGTTTGTCGAGTGCGATGCTGTTATTAAAGAGATCCATCTTCAGAACAATTCGATCAGTGTGCTAGCGCCGGGGTTATTCACGAACCTGGGGCATTTGTTGTTGTTAGACTTATCTCGGAATCATCTCACCAGTGCGTGGATAAACAGTGAAACCTTCTCTGGTCTCATACGATTGGTATTGTTAAATCTGTCCCATAACAGAATTACAACTCTGGATCCTTCCTTGTTCCGAGATCTGTATACTTTGCAAATTCTTAATTTAGAACGTAATCAAATTGAAACTATTCCGGCCGATACATTTGCCCCCATGAATAATCTGCACACCCTCGTGCTTTCGTTTAATAAAATCTCGTACTTAGATGCGTACGCTCTCAACGGTTTGTACGTACTTAGTTTGCTCTCCCTCGACAACAACCAGCTGAAAGAAGTGCATCCCGATGCGTTTCGCAATTGCAGCAGTTTGCAAGACTTGAACCTCAACGGCAACGAGCTGACGAAGGTGCCACTCGCGCTGAAAGACATGAGACTGCTTCGCACCGTTGATTTGGGCGAGAACAGCATCTCGGATCTCGATGACCCCGGTTTTTCGGGGATGAACAACCTGTACGGACTGCGGCTAATCGGCAACCAGTTGTCCAACCTCAGCAAAAAGGTTTTCTCCGACCTGCCGTCGCTACAGATCCTTAACTTGGCCAGAAACCGCATCGAAAAAGTCGAGCCCGGGACTTTTGACGCGAATAAGAACCTGCAGGCGATTCGCCTCGACGCTAACATGCTCACCGACATCTCCGGACTGTTTGTGGACGTTCACAGCCTGCTTTGGCTTAACATCTCCGACAACCAACTGGACTGGTTTGAATACGCCTCTTTCCCCACCACGCTGCAGTGGTTGGACATCCACAAAAACAGTATTCCCGAGCTAGGGAACTACTACAACCTGGAGTCCGAGCTTCACATTCAGACGTTAGACGCGAGTTTTAATAAGCTTACGCACGTCACGGCGAAATCTGTTCCTAACAGTGTCGAGCTCTTGTTTTTGAATGATAACCTCATTCACACGGTAGACCCCCACACGTTCGTGAATAAAACAAACCTGACGCGTGTGGACCTGTACGCGAATCAAATCGTTAGTATGGATTTGAACGCGCTTCGCTTGTCCCCGGTCGACCCGACGCGTCCGCTGCCTAGCTTTTACATAGGCGGAAACCCGTTTCAGTGCGACTGCACAATGGAGTGGCTGCAACGCATCAATAACCTGGACCACCTCCGCCAACATCCGCACGTGCGTGATTTGGAGAGCATCTACTGCAAGCTGATGTACAACCGGCACCGCACCTACATCCCACTAGTCGAGGCGGAGTCCTCCCAGTTTCTGTGTACGTACAAGACGCACTGTTTCGCGTTGTGTCACTGCTGCGACTTCGACGCGTGTGACTGCGAGATGACCTGTCCCACGAACTGCACGTGCTACCACGACCAGTCGTGGTCGTCGAATATTGTCGAGTGCTCCGGGGTGGAGTACTCGAAGATGCCTAGTCGAATTCCGATGGACGCTACGGAGGTGTACCTCGATGGGAACAGTTTCGGGGAATTATCGAGTCACTCGTTTATAGGGCGGAAGTACCTCAAAGTACTGTACGCAAATAACTCAAACATTGCCGCGATTTACAACCACACTTTCAGTGGTTTGCAGAGGTTGTCTGTGCTGCATTTGGAAAACAACCGCATCAAAGAGTTGCGCGGTTTCGAGCTGGAGAGTTTAGGCCACCTGCGGGAGCTGTACCTACAGCACAACCAGATCCGCTCGATAGACAACCGGACCTTTTCGCACCTGCAACAACTGGAGGTGTTGCGCATCGACGGCAACCGACTGGTCGCGTTCCCGGTGTGGTTGTTCGCGCGCAACCCGTACCTCGTGGAAATCGCGCTCAGCGACAACCAGTGGTCGTGCGACTGCCAGTACGTGCACCGGTTCCGCACGTGGCTGCAGGGCAACTACGTCAAAGTGGTGGACGCGAGCAAGATCGTCTGCGTGTTCAACAACGTGACCAACGCCGTCGGCCCGCCGCTCGCCGACTTCAACACGACGTCGTGCGCGGCGTTCGCTGGCGGCTCGACCGCCGTCGTCGAGAGCCAGGTCATCGAAGACTACCTTCCGCTGCTGCTCGTGACGCTGTGCGTGTTCCTGCTGAGTGCGGGGCTCGTGTGCGGCGCGTTCTACTACCGGCGGGAGCTGCGCGTGTGGATCTACTCGCGCTGCGGGCTGCGCATGTGCTACAAGACGACGGCCTTCGAAGAGGAGCAGGACCGCGACCGGCTCTTCGACGCGTACGTCAGCTACAGCGTCAAAGACGACGCCTTCGTCAGCGGCACGCTCGCGCCGGGCCTCGAACAGGTGGACCCCAACTACAGGCTGTGCCTGCACTACCGGGACTTCAACGTGAGCACGTTTGTCGCGGACACGATAATCGAGGCGGTGGAGTCTTCCCGAAGGACTATAGTCGTGCTGTCCAAGAACTTCCTGCACTCGGAGTGGTGCCGCTTCGAGTTCAAGTCGGCGCTGCACGAGGTGATGAAGGACCGCCGACGCCGGCTCATCATCGTGATATACGGCGAGCTGCCGCAGCGGGACATAGACCCGGACTTGAGGCTGTACCTCAAGGCGAACACGTGCATCGAGTACGGGGACCGCCTGTTCTGGCAGAAGCTGCGCTTGCCCCACCCGACGTAAAAGATGCGACGCACGGCGGCGGGGGGGGGCCCCACCGTGTCGGCCAGGTTGACGCGGCCCGCGGAGCGGCCGGCTCTACGCCGGCCACCTGCCACACCCGCGCCGTCACACCTTCACCAGCCTGCCGCGCGCGCGAGCTCAACCTGTACGCGACGCCGGCGGGCGGACGGCGGGTACAGCGAGACGAAAAAGCATGTTGTTTGACAGCCAGATCGCAGCCTCCAACCCGCGCGCCCCTGCCGCCCTCGCCCATGTCTTCGCTTCCGCCTCGCCCCGCTGTTCATGCATCCCGGTCGCTCGCACGCCCTGCCCCTGCCTGCCCTTTCCTGCCCACCTTCCCCCGCCCGCCCATCCCGCCCTCCGCCAAGCTGCTGGCCGCCGCCAGCGCCGCGGGTGCCCCGCCGCCGCCCTTCCTCAACAACCTGAGCGCCCTGCACAACGGCGCCGTCGGCGACCGACGCGCGGCACAGCAGCCGCTGTGGGCGTAGCGCCTATTTCGCCGCAGGTCAGTCTCTTTCCCCACTACTCTCTGTTTAGGTGCTCGATGTTACTCATCAGCGCTCGTGATAAAATAACGGGCGCTCATTCATGTGATGTTTACAGGCTGGAGATATTTTCCAAATATCAGCAAATATTCCTATTGCCTATGTTAGTATTGTCTGAAGAGGTTTGCTGTATTTTTAAACAATCAAAAAAAAGTCATTTCCTCAAAGGAATATTTTACATTGTGTTATTTGTAACGTGAAACAAAGTTTTAATTTCATGAAATAACAGTTTTGTGACTCTCTAAAAATACAGAATACCTCTTATGACAAATTGGAGATTTTCTCAATATTTACGTTGATTCATTTTTACATTCTTCGTAAATGTGTGTTTTTAGTACAAAAACGTTTCTCACAAGAATGTATTCTCTGCTCTGTTACTCTCTCGTAGACGCTTCTGAGATGAGAGCTCGTAAAATAAGGTGTGCTCATCCAAGTGTTGTTTACAAGCTGGAAATTTTTTCGTAAATTTCTGGAAATATTCCCAACAAGAATAATTCTCTTTACTAGTATTGCTTTATGAGGTATGCCGCACTTTTAGGCTTAAAAAACAGGTTTTCGATAAAAAGAATATTTAATATTTCGATATTTGTTAAGTAAAATAAAAAAGTTTTTATTTTATGAAATAACTGTTTTTTGGATGCCAAAAAATAAATGATACCACTTATTGCAAACTGGACATTTTACTCGTCAGTCACGTTGATTCATTTTTACATTCTTTGTAGATGTATGTTTTAGTAGAAAAACTCTTCTAGAAAGAACGTATTCACGCTCGTACTCACGCACATACGGTCACGGCGACGTATAGCGAATCCTCCGTGGTGCATTTTTCACTGCAAGTGGGGCTTTGAAGACATTATTCTTGCATAAGCGCTCGTGCAGTCGTAAAATAATGAGCAAGATACGAAGTAATTTTTGAAAACGTAGTATTTTCTCGTTTCTTACATTGGTCTCAAAATATTTAGCTCCACAAATATAAAGAAGTATGTAAATGACTATTCCTGCTACTCTTTCTCGCACAGTAACGTTCACCGAGACGTAGAATCTTGTCTCTAAGATAAAGGATTTATTGTGAGCGTTGCGCTACCACTTGAGATTCATTCTCGCAAAACCGCGCGTTGTTCTCATAAGCGTTCTTAAAATAATGCGTTCTCTTTGAAATACGTTTTCCAAACATGAGATATGTTTATTATTTACATAGGTGTCCAAGAACAAGCTTCTCGCAAAAGTGTGAATATGTGAATATTCATGCTCATAGGAGCACGACCGCTCGCGGGGTCGTAGCATCTTGGAATGCCATAGTGAATCCGTGTGAAGGTGCAACGCTTGCCTTAATGCTCTTAATGTCTTGTAAGAGCTCTTGGAGTAATAAAATAATGGATTAATCAAAGTAATTGTAACAAACTTTGGATTTACTCCTTTCTTACGTAAGTGCCTAAAATATTCTTCTCAAAAAAATATAAACAAGGAAATATTCTTTTCCAGTCTCGCACATGAATGTTCATGGTGGCGAAAAATATTTGGTGTTAAAGGTAGTGAATCCGCAATCGGAGAAATACCTGTTATCGTGAATCACGTTACCCGCTTATTCTTCAATAAACGCTCTAGTTGCACCCGAAGAAGCTGACAGGATATCTTACGATATTAAAATAAAATGTTATAACTTTTGTATTCCGATTGCGACATTACTCTAGTGATGGCTCTGGGCTTTACACTACTTCGTTTAGAACCTCCGCACGTAGATGTCTGTTCTGCCGCAGATGATGCGCTCTTATTCTAACGTAGGTGCTCATGAAAACAGTACAATAATAATGTGAGTCAGTACAATAATCATAATGGACACAATGAAAATATAAAGAATACGTCATATGTTTTTGCGTTCTGATGGTTAACGATTCGCCGTAGTATTGGGGTTTTACCTTCTCTCGTATAACGTTGGGCTGGAGGTGAATGGTTTAGCACTTTTTCTCTCACGAGCGCTTGTGGAGTCGCGGAATAGGATAATCGAAATGCAACTGAACTCTCGCAATAATCATTGTTCATATTATTTTCTTTTGGAAAGGAAGAGGAATTGTTTCTGCGTTGCAATCACCAACTTTCACGGACTGCTTGCTTTGTGCCTCACTTTTTCACATCAGACACTCGTAGAAACCAGTTTTGCGGCAGACGAGTGCGCTTATATTCTTTTATTGCTCGTACAGCGATAGAAAGTGTGCCTACCGTGTTTAGAAACGAGTTAAAAATATGCATTTAATAGACATGTATTGAAATAATGTGATAACTGTTTGGTTTTTGATTGTAAACGTTTTAGCATGCATTTTGCACTTAACATACTTACGTTTCAAATGTAGTGTATTATTTGAAGAATAGTTATTCACAGATGTAAATCTGAGTACGTTTGGGATCATGGATTCTAGAAGACGTAGAGTGAACGTCTGGCATTGTGCTTAAAATATTAATCATGCTTTGCAAAAATAGACCCCGAGTGCGAAACAAGCACGTCAAATATATATATGTATATATATATATATATATATATATATATATATATATATATATATATACACACACACACACACACACACACACACACACACACACACTTCAACTTATATTGAAGTAAGTTTGAGGATGATAATTGAATGAATGTTGAATTAAACTCATAAAATGTAATAGCCTTTTGCAAATGGGTGGAAAGCGAAGGTTTCAGCAAAAGTAAAATTTATGTTGAGTTGCATATACTCGAAAAAATGTTACTTTGGAGTGTGAGTACGTTCATGCTCTTATTGTGACTTTTACGAAGTTTTAGCCCGTTAGATGCTTGGAAAGTCAGTGAATCCGTATAATTTATTTGTTGATGTAGGAAAGCCGATTTTATTTAAGCATTGATGAATTTGATGGTATTCAACTCTCAAAAGTTTCACTTCAGATGAAACGTTTTATACATCGAGTTTCGAGAATAAAAATACGTCCCATGCAGAAGACTTCATTCTCGAGTTTCCTTTTTCGTAGATAAGGAAAAGAATGTACGTTATTTTTGAATTCTGAATAACGCTTCATGAACATACTCAAAAACGATATGAATCTGTACAAGCGAAATGTATTTCGAATTACGAATATAAGTATTTTTGCGGCAAGAGGGATACGATATTTGTCTCTTCTTTCTGCGTTCTCCCGAAATGAGACATTTCACATTAGTATTTCCTTTGTGGCTGGCAGAAGAGACGGAAATCTGTGAAGTGCTTGGAAAGAAATAATTCGTAAGAATTAAATAATTGTTGTTAAAATGATGAATATTGTATTGAAGCATAATAAAAAATAAGTAAGAACTAGATGCATTCCGAATTCAGATAGTGATTTATGTTTCTTTCTCTTAAAAAGTGAACTTTGCATAATAAACTTTGCGAGCTTTGCGTTATATCTATAAAAATTAATACTTTGCAGAATATCCGTTAGTTGAACTTACACGTAACACTTTTCGGTGACATTAAAAGATGTTTTAAAACAAAATGAATCCGTACAGGATGTTGTGTGATAATACCTATAAATATTATATATTTTGATATTATTATTAATATTATTATTATTATTATTATTATTATTTATATTGACATTTCTATCGTCAGTGTTACAGCATATATTTCACATACGTTCGAAGATGTGTTACGCCAAATTGAGTATCTTTTCCATATTATTTGTGCCAATGTCTGCACAAATGGTGAGCAGGTATGTTGTACAAATAGCTCAAAAATAAGCCAGTCATTTATGGGGTAGTCAGTTGAAATGATGATTTGTAAAGGAGCAAACAGAAAAAGCTACTTACATTTAAGTCACTTAAGAGCGATAACTTATTGTATATTTCTTCAAGTTATTTTTTCGTTCTCACGAATAGGAAAAGTTAATAAAACCAATGTAAAAAACGTAGTTTCCACAAAATAATTTACTTAATGCAGCCAAATCAGAGTAAAAGTACGAGTTTGAAAAAGTAATTAACTTTTGTACTTTTACGCTAGAGTTTAAAGAACTCATTTGCAATTGCATGGAAACGGGAAACTCTAGTAATACAGTAATTCAAGTATTTTCTTTGGTTTCGGGAATACGTAAATGACATTTCATGTATTAAGCATTTAGTTGGTAAAAGTATAATTGAATAGGTTAAGCGACGAGATGAAGTGACCTGCAACGACGCAAGGTTTGTGGTTACCAAAAATATTTAAGAAATGTTTGAGATAAATAAATCCTATGATACGTTGCCTAAAACTCTAATTTAATTATATTTTTCTTCGTACTTTTCCTATTTAGAGTGAATATCAGAATGAATACTGAGATTTGTTATTTGCCGATTTCAAGATTGCAAATGTACGAATTGCTCAAGTCGATTCCCCGAAGACTATGAGGAAAATGGAAAAAGGAATTACATTTCGTTGATGAAGATCTGTGTAATGAAGTATTAACACCCGGTGCTTTGAATACCAACAGTGCGTACATTTTACGTAACACAAGTATTTGAATTATTGATCACGTGTGTTACCGGCCTGGATGACCGAGGTGGTTACAGCGCGAGCGCAATCACCACGTAACAACCCATCATGTGTGTACTCATAAGTTCGTACCTTGTCCATCATGTGTCTATTGAATTACGGATTAGATTGAAGCCTTATTTTCCGTGGCGAGACTCAGACAGGGCGACGAAACAGGGGATTTGAACTTAGCTCAGGCGCTTCGTTTAGGTTTGAGGATCTTTTACATGCAGTGAATCTACTAACATGGAACAACCGTCTTTATATACTACGAGTACTACAAGCCCACTGTGAAATCCCAATGCCTTAAACTGGACTCTAAGGCACTGTCTTCCGATTCGCGTAACATGGACTCTACTCTATGTTCCCACGTTTTCGAGATAATTTGTCAGTATATTAGTGATCTACAGCAGCAAAAATTAGTTGCTCTGAAATGGCACACT